TACCAAAAATCTGGCAGGAAGACACTTTTCCACGCGAACAGAGTCGCGGGTAAAGCTAGTACCTAGTATTATATTTATGAGATCATATTTATTTGTATACCACTCAAACATAATTAGGAGTTATTATTGAAAATCTACCACGTATGCCATTAAAATAAGGATAAAATATAAATAATATAAGCCGCGTAGTTGATAGTATATACCTAATTAAAATTATTTATAAATTGTTCTAGTAATGTTATAGTTCACTTTACCCTGTAGGTTGGATTGAAAACAACAGACTTAGTTATAACTATTTAGTCTTATATTCTGCCTAAAAATGTTAAAAATGTGGTCGACTGTTATATTTCTTGTGCTATGTTATACAATGGTGACATATGCGGCTTTAGCGACTTTTCAACCGACTCAGTTCTACTTGCGTACACAAGGATGCCCCATTGGACGGATATACATAAATAATAAATGTCTCTCTGCCCAAGAATTGTAAGTAACTTTTTTGACCCTCTTTAAGATTTTCTCCTGTGTCGTTGGTGCGTTAAAAACATGCACAAATCACCCAGACCCGAAACATCAATTTGCTGGTCACACAAATAGTTTTTTCGTGTTGGAATCAAACCTGCAACACGATGCACAACAGCTAGTTGCCCAGCCACTAGGCTAGGGCAGTCTTCATACATGCATTGTTGCACTTTTTTAATTTATTGAATACTTATGAAACTAGGTATCTAATTTTTAAGTGACTAAGCAATGCCATCATCATCAACAGCCTACAATGGCCTACTGAGCGGCCTGCTCAAACCTTCTCTATGTGAGAAGAGGTGTTTCTTCTCACACGGAGAAGGTTTGACCATTAACCACACTTGTTCAAGGCGGATTGACACTTATAGACTGGTTATGATGATGTTCTTTTTCATAGTTATTAATTAACATTTTGTTTTTGATAATTAATAAAGTGGACACATCTTTTTTTACATTTTCAGTATGAATCAATTGCTTTATGGTGACGCATATTACTGAACGAATAAACTGACAAATCACGACGATGTTTGAGATTATGCTGTGGGCAGTAAGTGGAGTGATTTAACAAAACGTGATATTTAATTATATTTAGGAATTTTATATTTAACTGTACCAACAGCAACAGTGTTTCAGTTTAATTTAAATCCTAGCCATAAAGACATACAATGCAATTCTCCCCAAAATGTCTACTCATTTTTTTGTTAGCTTTTTTATGTAAAAAATCAGTTAAATTACAAATTGAATGAAAGCGTGACATTTGGTTTTAGATTCACAACTTTATAGTTATGTAATAAAGAAAGTGCCTTGTAGTTAATGCACACATAACAATATTGAAAAGACTGTAATATAAGTTGATTAAACATAATTCTAAATTACTTACTTTTTACTTAATTACTTACTTTGATTTCTCCCCATCACCTGTTTCTCTTGGCATCAGCCACATCTCGGATACCGTCACTCCTCCTAGCTGGAGAGCGACCTACACGTCTGCCAAGATGCGGTCACCATTCCAGAACTCTTTTACCCCAACAGACATCGGTTCTTCGACAAACGTATTTATGACCCACCTTCCCCCCTCCCCCTTCTTTTATGACATTTCTCAAAGAAACAGGTTGGGGAAACCACATGGAGAAGATTGGGACTCTGAGAAATTCAGTCACACGGCGAAACACAACTCTAGCGTTGTTTCACGTCGGTATTCTGTGAGGCCGTGGTATCACTACGGCGTATTCGTCCCACACATAGTTTTTTTTTATGTAATAGATATACAGATACATAGATTATTCGGTTTTCGAAATTGTCCCGCCTCTGTGTTTAAAAATAAGCTAACCTTTAATTAGATAAAATATTTATTTTTAAATACAAGTTAATTAGGTGTCGTGGTGGGTCGAAGGTTAAGGAACATGCATGAGGGTGCGGGTTCGATACCTGGCAAGTACCAACGTACTAAGTTACTATGTACTTTCTAAGCGTATCTATTAAGACACCACTGACAATCGTGAGGAAACCTGAACTAATTTCTTATTATCGATTTCAAGAATTCCGCCTTGAGCAGGCGTGGCAATTAATGATCGTACCTTCTTGTGAGAAGAGGCCTTTGCTCAGCAGTGGACACTTATAGGCTGATGATGATTATGCTCCAAAGTTGTATAAAATTCATAAAACCATAGAAAACTTTGTTCATTATATTTATTGCAATAAAATATACATATAATTGGATAGAATATCGAAGCGTAATATACAATTGGCGTAAGCAGTACGTCATATACATAGAATACACATAGCTATCTATATATGTATAACAATACAAAAACATACAAATACATTGGATGGGATTCATTTGGTCTAAGCAATGGCTACAGTATCAAATACATAATTATATGTATACTTTTTCATAATAATATAAATAATTCCGAGTGAATAATGTAATATTACTAGCGAAGGAACTTTTTTATTCAATATTTTAAGTAACAATTATAACAGTTTATATTACAAAATGTGTTAAAGAAACAATACTGAAATAATTGAAACATTTAGTACATAAGACTTAACCTTATCCAAAACATTCAACGGTAATGAATAAGAGTTCCGGTGTGACTTGAAATTGGTAGAGCATTCCTCGAATTGATCATTCCGTGAGTAAGCTGAATATTTCAATTGATTTAGTATTTAAGTCTCACGATAGTTAATTATTTATTACACAATAAAAATACTGACTAAATATATATTTTGAATTCCCTAAAAAATCCTTTTTACTAAAACAATTTGATAACAAAATCGATTATAATATTGAGTAAATTTTGTCAACTAATTTTTGTCTGTTTAGTTTGACAAGTTATTCGATAGAATGTTGTACAAGGAACGCATAATTACGAGTATAGCCGAACAGCACATGAAGTTACACCAATATGGAATTATTTCTAACAAACTTTCAACTTTATTATAAAAGCAACAATGTCGATAATCGATTAAAAACGTTTTCCACATCAATGTGCTGTCGTCGAAATAAAATACTTAAGAAATCGGTTAAAAGTAATGTTAAATGCATGAAACTAGTTTAAACAGAATATTCTTTACTCCAACCCAGTGTCAGTAAATACGTCTAAAATCTAAGCAAAACTACAGGCATATATTATACCAATACACATTATAAGGTACATTCGACCAATGTAGTGCAAGCTTACCTTACAACTTCAAAACTGCTGGACAATATAACATGTAACTCTCACAAAATATAGTCAATCGTGACGAATTAGTATATTAAGCTCGTATAATTCTTTAGTTTCACGTTTTGCTTTTAAAATACTACAAAATTGGTACTGATGATTAATTATTATTACTATTTAGATTAATTTAGAGCGTATGGCTAGTATTATTTGGCTGTATTCTTTTATATGGCAATATTTTAAGGTAGCTAATGTTTATAGAGTATATTTTTCAATTCCGTATCTCATTAAGGATTGTTTGTTACAAATCAAATTATTTTTTTATAATAATATTACTTATGACGTCACTATGATCCTTCATTATGACATCATCGACTTTTTAAGTCTCGGATAATGAGTAATATTTATTGGGATCCATTTTTTAAAGGACTGGGTGGGCGAGAAGTTTTTTCAGACTTTAACTGACTAAAAACCTCCTTCTAAAATACATTCAAACATATCTTCCGTCAATTAAAACACCAACTATTTTCTCGTATAAATCAGTTACTAAACAGTATTATAGGTACGTATTTTATAATACGTATTTAAAAATTAACTATAGTGTGTTTATTTTGAAATACTTTTATATGAATGTGTAGATAAGTCAAAAATTTCTATCAAATTGGGAAACATCTTTATAGGAAATATTCCTTCATTGAGTACGGAATTGGTAGATTTATAATATTGTTACGGTGTCGAAATAACATATAGGTTGAGTATAGGTATATAAGGTTTATATACACGATTTGATTTAATATTTTTGCTAGTTTCGTATCTAAACATTCGTAAGTAAGATATATTGTCACATTTTAATACTTTAATGTCATGCTAAGCAATATCCAATTTTATACTCTTCATTACTGACGAGTTAGTTTTCAACAAGAATATACAGTTTCTCTAAAATTATACTAAATCGACTTAAGTTCGCTTTTTGATATTATTTCTTTAGAATTGCTGTCAAAAATAGAAGTCGATCCGAGGTTTTTGGATTAAGATAGGTAGATTATATTGCGGCCTTAAGACAAATATATGAAATTCAGTGTTGGTAAACTATATTAATATATATATGATCATATTCAATTCTTTATTTGAAATTGTCAAAATCGATAATTTTCTATGGGATTATGTATTGTGACATTGTAGTTTTATTTATCATCAAATATCATTATTATTATAGAACATTATCTATAAGAAAGTATATCAATGAAGTTAAAGTGTGACAACTTTTTATATATTATATGGTACTGAAAAAGTATATAAATGATTTTTGTCTAAGTACCCGTTCATGACTATCTCCAAGAATTAATGTTGATAAGTTATTGAAACTAACTTTATAAGATTAAATAAGAAGGATCTTTATTAGTTGAAGGAAATAAATATTCAAATACTGTCAAAAATGTGATTATTGTTTTAAATGAGAGAATAAATAATTGTTTATGTAAATATGGAATCGAATCTTATACTGTGTTTATTTTAATGAATAATATGATAATCAATTCAATTTCAATAACTGTATTAATTGTAGTATTTTAATTAATAAATATTATTTTAAGTATTTAATAAATATTCAAGCGAGTCTATTATATAATTTACTAAATCATTAAAATATAGAGTTTCCAAATTAATTAACGAATTAAGAATAATCTTAAACATTTTTTCTATGAAAAATTTCTACAGAACAAAATTTAGAACAACTTTACGGAAAATATTTACATTTTAGAAAAACAAAATGTCTTTTAATAAAGTCAGGAAGCGACTAAAATGATAAAAAAAAATACTACAAAAACAAAATATATACGCAAATAAAGGAAAATGAAAAAAATAAAAGATAAAATGTATACACAAAATCATATATAATAAATGATACATTATTGTTGTCACTTATATACTACAACCGCTATATTATTTACAGACATTTAACATATAACTTAATCTTTGCGAACATCGAGATGACAAGACAAAAATAACATTAAAAAATTCATCTAGTCAATCACTTCAACTCCTTACCTCTGGAATAATAATCGATAATACTAAATAATGCAGTACTTTCTTGTAATAAACGAAAACAATATAATAATAAAATATTATTACAAAATATACAAGTTCTGTCGTGCTGGGTAACACGCGGCGACCGCTACAAATATATGTTTGTGTGTTATGTTGCGACGATGTTCGAAACTGCTAGGCATTAGTTGATCAAGTCGTTTTGTCGCGTGTTAGTTTGTCCGTCGTGGGCCAGCCAGGATTAGTGAGTGTAATATCACTACGCCAATACGTCAGGGTTTCGCTTACTATTCTTACAAGGGCTGCTACATCACCCGCCATTACTAGGCTGGTCCTGGAACAAAACATAGTATCATTTAATGTGACAATCTTGTTGTAAATCACTTTTTCAATCCTTAGGCTTTATATTCAGATCTGGAATACTTTTTATAGTTAATTATAGTTTTTTTTTTAATATTAATGGGAATTTTGTTAAGAAAATATTGCACTGAATGCTGACCTGTATAGACGAGTCCAATCCCGCCTTGGGGATGGAGATCTCTTCTGTCGTTTGGTGATCTGGAAGTTGACAACAATATGCTAATTAGTATCAACATTGTACGTTTCTGTGAAATATACACATTACGGTTTTGTGACTTGATTTGATGGCTTTAACTTGATAGTACAATTGATTACTTTCTTAGGTTAAAAATAAATTAATTAGACGTTTCAATACAATAAAATATTGAAAAATAACTATACTTTTATTCATAGATCGATCGATACACTAACACCCGGTGTCTGAAAGGCTTGTCAACGCTAAAATAAACTAATCCCCTGTTAAATCTCTTGTAAAGTCATCTGATTGGTTGTTGATAATTGAGTCAACCAATCAGATGACTTGACAAGAGATTAAATTGATTTTTACATTGATCGGCCTTTCGGGAACTAGGTACTGTAAGTTTTAGATATTATTAAGCAATAAGTAAGCAATTTGACGCAAAAATACTATGATGTCATAACTCAGCTTTTCATACAAATTTCATAGAAAAGTATCGTTTTTGACATTTGGATAAAAGTATTGAATTTGACTAGTTGGAAACTACCGTATTGTACTATTTGCTAAAGTAGAGTTAGATTATGTAAAATGTACGTACCGGGGCGCAGACGGGCCCGCAGCGCGTCGTTGATGTCGCGCAGCGCGGCGGCGTGTTGTCGCGCGGCGGCGGCGGCGCGCTGCCCGCCCAGCTCGGCCAGCGCGCGCGACAGTGTCGCCTGCAGCCCGCCGCATACTGGCGCCAGACGGACCGCCCACGCGCTGCTCTCTGCGGGACGGAGGGAACAAGAGGTCAGCACACTTTCATACTGCACGTCTTATTATCACCGTGTTGGGCTTCTATAAGGCCTTATTTTTATAGCGGACTAGCTGTAGAATAGATATACGATATACCCACAAATAATCTGTAAAAAACTAACCAAGTCTCGATGGAGCTGCTAGTTTATCTTTAAAAAGTAATGAAGTCTAAGGTTCCTTTTTACAATTTCGGTATGACTAGGTATAAGTAGTATTAGTATATTTAAAAACGTAGTTATTATCTTAGTTTTTATAGTTTTCCCTTTATGTAGCCATAAAACATTAACTCTGTATCAAATTTCAACTCTCTGAGGTTATGGGAAGTACTAGTTATACTATATTTTGATGATAATGAGTGAGTGAGTGTCATAAATGCGAAACTTTGCTTTCGCTTAACTTCGGAACTAAATGACCTGTAAACTTAAAATTTTGGATTTTAAGGATATGACTATAGCTTACTGGATACAGAAATGTTTGCATCTAGAGCTTCTAAAATAGGGGCCTGAAAATACGGCGAAATGATTCCAGTAAAGGATGGTACGGCCGTGTTTGATTCACGCTCAACTTGGTGGGACACTACCATGCCCTCAGATTTAAAAAAAGAATCAGATTTTGAGGTTATACATTTTTCTGAGTATTTTTTAAGAATTTAGCTAAATAACTGTAACAATAGCTATTTTTGGGATCTATTTAGATAATAAAGTACCTTTAGAGTTTTATAACACACGTCAAAGTCGCTGTAAGTGCTAAATTAAAATGCATACCTGAATAGTTAGCATTCGTTTTAGAATGAGATTAATATAAACCGTGTAGGCTAGAACAGTTTACTAATGTAATAGTCGCGTGCAATAGCATCAAATGTATATGATGTAATATAGCTAGTCCGTGTTAAAAGATATTGGCACTTGCACAGGGCCAATTTGAACATTGTCTTTTAGCTAAAGAATCAGAAAAAAGAAAATGACCTAAAGGTCAAATATTGAGACAGTCTCCAACAAGAGAGTACCGTTCAACTTAAGCATATTAAAGGGAATCGAGTGATGAAATACATCTTTAAATAGTCTCACCGATCTCATCGTCCTCATTGTCCTCACAGCCGCTAGAGTGTAGAGGTAGCTCGTAATCCGTGAGGGCTTCCGACAGCTCTTTCTCCAAGACGTCGGCGTCTACCGGGTCGAGGGTGTCCGTCGGTACGTCAAGTTCTTCCGGAGCAGGTAGCATTTCGAATGATTCTGTTGAAGAGAAATAGATAATATGAGATGGAAACAAAATATGGTGTATAGAAAGGTATGCACAGTATGATGTGTGGGAGAGTTATGCTTTGGCACGAACGGGTCGGCTCGACCGGAGTGATATCACGGCCTCACAGAAAACCGGTGTGAAACAACCACTGTGTTGTGTTTCGCCGTGTGAGTGGGGTTACCGGAGGGCCAATCCTTTCATTCCCCCAATTCCTAAATCTCCAAATTCCTCATCCCTAAATGATTGGCAACGCACTAGTAACTCCTCGTCCATGGGCGGCGCTGATTGCTTACCATCAGGTAATCCGTCTGCTCGTTTGGCAAGCTATTACATAAAGAATGATGTATAAGAGCGCAACGTACGCGGGCGTTGGTGTACCCGCGCGCGGCACGAGTCGCACCGTCCAGCACGTGCGCGCGCGGCGACGGCGGCCCCCTCCGACACGCGCAGCGCGCGCTGCACGCCGCGCGTCAGCTCGTGCGCTGTAACACAATATACCAGTATAAACACATGCTCAAGCTATACCTTAATTTTGTCAACAAGGTATAAAACACCAATTTTACAAAAAATAACTCAATCAAGTCAACATTTCATATCCGCCTACTGTGTAAATAAGTTTTTTATTATAACTTTCTTGAGACATTCTAAATTATTTATTGTTTTCGACTTACTCATGTAATAATTTAACGAAACACTCGACTAGTTTCAGCAGCAGCGCGACAGACGCCGCGTCGCGTGTCGCGGAATGCTACTCATGAATATGGGCCTCTAGAATGGCTTGAAACTAGTCGAGTATCTCGTCAAATTATTACTGTAAATAAATATCGAACTAATAAAGTCAATATTTTTACAGAACTGCCCATAAACAGGAGTGATTTTTCTTTATTACACATATCGTTGGAATCTTTAAATCATCCCGAGTGTCATAGACTTGGCATAGGTTGTGTCTTAAAAACAATGTCAGGGGCTCATATTTGGGGGACAATTTTCAGTGATATTTCCTTAATCATACGTGCCCCAAACGCAATTAAAGTTACTTATCATTTCCTGTGGACAGCCTTTATACATTGAAGTTCATTTTTAATTATGGCAACAATACAATTCGGAAGAAACAACTTCGAGAGAAATGCTCTGACTTGGCTAGGCAGCGTATAGGAAACTCGATCGGGTAATCTCGTCAAAGATACCGCAAAACCTGAAGACAAAAGTCTTCAATGAGTACATCCTACCAATGATGACACACGGAATTGAGACGTGGACGATGATTAAATAAAAAATAATAATAAATCGGACATACCCTGCGCGTGCGCAGCGAGCAGTAGTTGGTGCAGGTCGGCGACGGGCGCGTCGTCCTCCACGCTGCTACTGCGCGACATCGGGGGCCGGGACGCGCGCAACTCGCCGCATACGTCTGTGGACCATACAACAAATACATTTACATACCAAACTTAATTACTATTACTATTATCACGCTGCTTAATTACTATTACTGATTTCACTACACAATTTTGTACTATTTTTTTAACGATTTTCATATCACGAACAAGGTCTCGGGCGAAATATTTAAATATGTGTTTCTAATTACAATTATTCACTTACCAACTTCTCCTAATGCGTCGGCGACGGCGAGATCTGCGAACTGGGCAAAGTTCTGCGGCGGTACTCCGAGCACTGAACCCACTATCGATGACTTCGCGCGCAGTGCCTTCGAGATCACTGCATCTAGGCGGCGAAGGCGCTCTGTGGGGGGAAATATATTTATGAGGTTTTATGAAGCAAATAAAATTAGTCAGTTGATGTTGGGGTATTTTTTTACTCCTGAGATTAGTTACAGGCTTTTTATTGTTTTCAATTAGACCACAGTAGGCACGTTTGAACGTCAAGCTAAAAAAAGAAAAAATATATATTTCAAAAGGTTTAACTTCATACGTGTCAGTCTGTCCGTATGTCGTGTAGTGAAGCTATTTGCTCGTTCCAAAGTGGATTCCGAAGGAGATGAACGAGCAAGAAACACCATGTATACGCTTTTTCAATCAGAACTTTTTCCATATAAAAGGATTTGTTACAATAATAACGTTTTGGTGTCATGTGTAGCATATTGTCAATCTTCAATGCGTTTTGTTAGTATATTAGCTTTCGGCCGCGTGCTTATGTCCTATTCCGAAGGGTATGCTATGTCTGTACCAAATTTCTTCTAGATCGGTGCAGCCGTTTCGGCGTGACTGAGTAACAAACATTCAAACATCGTAACTTCGCATTTATCCATTTATCCACCCCTACGTTGTTGAGACACCTGCGGCCCGGACTAAGCGTTTTACCTCGTCATTTACACCGCGTACATCGAGGGATTGGAACAGTTTGCCGGCTGCAGTCTTTCCGTCCGAATACAATTTAGGTGTCTTCAAGGCTAGAGTGAATAGGCTCTTAATAAACTAGTGCGCCTTACCATCAACGATTGCATCACTGCTTACCATCAGGTGGGATCGCAGTTAAGCACTAGTTTATTGCAAGTAAAAAAACAAAAAGTATAAGAAGTAAGATTATTACAGTTGATTGATGCAGGACACTTGCAATCAGCCTATGTAAAGGTTATTGAGAGGAACCTTTGTGATGACTTATATGATGATGGAGATGACGCGAATAGCTTACCAGCGTGTGTGTAGACCGTGTGTGCGGTGAGCGCGGCGTGCGCGGCGGGGGCGCGGACCGTGACGGCCACCGGGGACTCCAGCGGGGGCGCCGCCGGGCCCTGCGTACTGATGCGACCCACGGTCGGCCGGCGGGGTCTACACGGGGACATTTTTAAATTATAAATACATCATCATACTCGAATCAACAATTTGTGGATCACACAAAATGTTGGTACGTGCAGATATCCAGCCCGCAACCACATTGAATAGCAGCCAGTTGACCAGCGACTGTACCAACTGTGCAGTTACATCATATTATACAATAATTGCACCCAACATTTCGTGTTACTAGACATTGTCACTAGTATTACAGATCATACTTCGAGCCTCACAAAGTTAACTACGCATGTAGCCTTAACAAATTAACAATCAATTCAAACTCCACTTCTTATAACACAAATGAAATCAACAACTAAAAGAAAAATAATATTAAATTCAACTCACTTATGCTTGTCATCCTTATCATTAACCTCTGCCTCCTTATCAGTTGAACTCCTATCCTCCGCCTCAATAGTCCTCTTTTCCTCCTCTGACCTCTTGTCCTCCCGTTCAGCAGATGTCCTCTCTACGGAGGTTCGGTCTTTTTCCGGCTCGACCGGTTCGTCTCCGGGTGCCGTCGACGATGATTTCTCTGAAGCGTCCGATGGATTACGGGATACGTTTATTCCTGTAGAAAAAAGTGTAATTAGTTAAGAAGTAGATCGAAAGCACGATTCTGTTCTTAGTTTTTATCTGTAAAAAATTATAAATTGAGTGTTGAGAACTCAATTATATAATTATTGTTAACTATTAGTTTTAACGTAACAGTGCACTTATAGGAAATTTAATTATAGGGAAACCTTTTTAAGCCAGTGTTACGGTTCAAGCGCATTAGGAGAAAAAGAGTCTGACACTCCTTTCAAATAAAGTGTGGGAGAGCCATGCTTTGGCACGAATGGGTCGGCTCGACCGGAGTGATACCATGGCCTCACAGAAAACCGGCGTGAAACAACCACAGCGTTGTGTTTCGCCGTGTAAGTGAGGTTACCGGAGGCCCAATCCTTCCCCTCCCCCAATCCCTCCTCAATCCTTAAATCTCCAAATCCCTAATCCCTAAAAGGTCGGCAACGCACTCGTAACTCCTCCGTTGCGGATGTCCATGGGTGTAATTATTAGTTATTAGTAAGTTTATAAGACAGAACTATGTCGATTGACGTTCTATTGTATCTGGGCTACCTGTTGTAGCGATATATATTATTATTATTATAATAAAGTTGTGTGTATCGTACCGGAGTCGTCGGCGGAGCGTGAGTGCGCGTGTTGCGTGGGTATGCTCGCCTTCAGGTCGGTCAGCTTCGCCAGCGGGGCTTCTTGGATGTGCTTCACCCAGCTGGAACGGTACACAGTCATGTAATACATGCTATTACTATTATAGCTAGACTTTATTTACGAATGAACTTTTGGCTATCTTATTATATCTTATGCTCGAAAAACTATGAATGACATAATCTAAATATTTTCTTCTTAGTCCCGAAAATATGTACGCCTATTTCTAGATTAGCACCATATGTACTCATTATGTCAAAAATGAATTCCATCTCCAAAATTTGTTACTGAAGAATATTGAGTGTGATTTTTTTAGGACTTCACTGCTTCCGTAATCAATGAAAAATCCGTTGATATCCTGTGTGTTAATAATTTTTATTAACACTGATATTTTATTACACAAATACATTTCAAAGTCAAAATGATTTATTTCAACTAAACTATGAACTTTTCAAACGTCTGAATTAAGTACCTATATAGTACTTATAGTTTATTTATAATCTATACTAGTCTATACTAATATTATAAAGAGGTAAAATTTGTAAGTTTGTATGTAGGGGGTAATCTTTGGAACCGCTGGTCGGATTCCCAAAAAATCTTTCACTTATTTATAGCTACAATGTTCCCGAGTGCTATAGGCTACAAAACATCACGCTAAAATCAAATGGAGCCGAGTAGCGAGTGAAACCGCGCGGGACTAGCTAGTTAATAATAAAAATACTCACGAGGCGTACTCCGGCGCTGAGTTGGCGGAGAGTTCGTGCATCTGTACTCCGTTGATGTTCATCAGGAAGAACGTATTGCGCACCGCCGCGTTAGGTCGGAACAGTACCTTATCCCTGTTTATGTAAAGATCATATTTAGTTGACAATGTTTTTGAGTGAGTTTTTAGATTTGTAGTATTGTTATTTTTTTTTCAATGTTTGGTTGTAGGAAGATATGTATTGTAATAAAATATTAGTCTTTCGTGTTTTAATTATAAGCTATCAAAACACCTCCTACTAGAGACTAGCTGACAGTTTTAATACTATCAACATGTTTTTTAAAGTGAAACTATTTTACAATTGACTCAAGAACTGTAAATTATTTGTTCCATCTTAAAGCAAAACTTTGGTCTTCTAAAATATAAAAATGAATGGATAAATGTTGTGGTAAGCACATCTCGAAAACAGCTTAACTAATTTCGCTGAATCTTTGTCGTGATTAATTTGATTATACTAGGAGCTGACAAAAGAACGAAATGGACAATTTTTATCTAGTTCGTCACGAGTTCGAAGCACGCTAGTTAAAACTAGTAGTGTGACAATACTGACCACTTGATGAGCGGCGAGAGCATGAGAGACTGGCTCGGCAGCGGGATAGGTTTGAGCACGAACTTGTCGCTCTCTCGCTGCAGCAGGACCAGGCTGTCTTCCAACATCAGCGCCTGGGGGACGACGATACCGTTAGTGACGTAGTGAGTGAGTTAGCAAGTATGTGAGTGAGTGAGTGAGTGAGTCAGTGTGAATGAGTGAGTGAATCAGTGTGTGTGAGCGAGTGAGTGAGTGAGTGAGTTAGATAGTTATTTATTTAGTTAGTGAGTGAGTACGATTGAGTGATATTACTCAACTACAATTGCTGTATTAGAAAAGTCAGTGTGAATATTATAGTATGTGTTATTGATCTAATCAGTGGGATGATGTGGTATAATGATAAATCTGTATTAATCAAGTGATTTTTATAAAGTGATAAGTAAAATTAGTGTAACAATTAAGTGACGTACTGTTTATTATTTTTGTATAAGTATCAGAGTATGGTGATAATAATGTTAAAGTATAATACTTACAAGAACATTGATCCTCTTGGAGGAGTCGTTCCTAAGAGTGAGGTCTCCCTCTGTTGTGAGGCGATGTTGCGTGAGGTCCAGGCGTCGGAGCTCGTCCCACTCACTCGCGCTCGGAACTCGAATCTCCAACTTACTCTGGATTGTGCGCAATCTGAGAAACAAATATACATCGTTACTTTTAAATCTGTACTAATATTATAGAGAGGTAAAATTTGTAAGTTGGTGTGTAGTTGGGGGTAATCTTTGGAAGAGCTAGTCGGGTTTCGAAAATTCTTTCACTGATAGATAGCTACAAGTCCTGTAGTTCCTTAGTCCTATAGGCTACGTCCTTTAGGATCAGAGCAGCGGGTGAAACAAATGCTATTAGTTATAGTAAGTTAAAATAATACATTTAGGTCTTTTTAAGAGTTTAAAATCGTTATTTTTTCACTAGAATAATCTTGTTTATAAATAGCAAGCGTTCTTTAGATACATATCAATATATTTGTTTATTTAAATAATTCTTCTGTACGTGACCGATTTAAATGTTTTTTCTGAATGCGTTTAAGTGACACCCTAAATGGTTTAGATTCACAAATTAGCCCGGCAGATGGCTGTGGTTGAGCATGCGCCAAGAAGCATTAATCTCGGAAACGGCCCAAACGATTTCGCTGAAATTTGACATATGGGGATTTTCGGGGAGGGTCCGCTAGTATTCATAAACATATTTAGGCTGAGTTAATATGTTTCATTAAATAGTGATCATCATTACCTGTGTTCATTCTCAGCGGTTCTGATTGCAGTGTCGACCCTGTGCAGTACATCCTTGGCGACATCGTGAGCTCGTCGCAATTTCGCTACGTCTTCCTCTGTCTCTTCGCCTTCCCCCACAGTCTTCAGGATACCTTCGAGTAGAAGCTGGTATTTTGTCAACCTGGGGAGAAATTATCACATAGAATTTAATATTTAAAATCGTGGTAATTCGAGACACGATATAAGAACAATAGGTGCGCGAACGCCAGCTTTCGTTTGGAGTTTGATGAATTAATAGAAACAAGGCTAAATGTGTAGTTCAAGGGGACTTCTAGATAAAAATAAGGAAACATTCATATACTTCTGGGAGATCACGTGGAAGAATCACACTTAGGCGCGACTGGATCAGATTGTCAGATACCACTAAAATACACTTAGGCAACGCGCCTGTCTCTCTTCTGGTGTTACGAGTGGTCAAGGACGGCGCTGATCACTAACCATCAGATGATCGGTCCGTTCTTATGCCTCCTATTACAAAAAAAACAAGCCATGATCTCGCCGAAAACCTGTGAGAAACCTATTGGTTACTTTTATGATGTTTCAAATGCTTAAAGGCGTTGTTGATAGGCGATCCAATAAAAAGTGTTAAGACCGTACCTCTGCCAGACGCAGGCGAGCATGTCCTTGAGCTGCAGCCGCCCGCAGTGCGGCAGTTGTTCCCGCGCGGCGAGGAACTGGTGCAGCTCCTTGCTCTTGCGGCGCCGCTCGCGCAGCGCGTCCAGCGCCATGCGCTGACCGCGGCAGAACTTCGACACGCACAGCGCGTAGCCTGACTCGCCCAACTAGGGGGGGAGGGGAGGTTTGTGAATAATGTACAATATAGTCTACCTAGCATAATATGGTGCATTATACACTAAGACCTGATAATTAGAATAACAATGGAAGAGGAATAATGGTATACAATATTTGCACTGGTGGATTTATAACGAACTAGCTTTAGCCCGCGAATTCGTTCGCGTGGAATAGTGTTTTTCTGCATATTTTTGGTATAAAAACTATCCTATGTCCTTTCTCGAGTTCCAAACTATGTCTGTACCAAATTTCACAGAAATCGGTTCAGTAGTTTAAGCGTGAAGAAGACAAACAGACAGACAGACTTACCTTCAAATTTATTATATTAGTTTGGATATGATGATACCTGCTTGGTGTGATGCAAAATCCCTCCTATCTCTTACTACATACATTTTTTTTATTAATTTTAAGAAAATCGTTGGCTCACTTTGGGATTTTCTCCTGTGTTGTGGGTGACACCCAGACCCGAAATAACAATTTGTGGATCACACAAAATGTTGTCCCGTGCGGGAATCGAACCCGCGACACGTTGCACGGCAGCCAGTTGCCCAGCCACCGCACCAACCGTGCAATCATACATTGGACTATAACTGGTTAAATGAAGGTGTTAAATTGTTACTATTTAAATATGTTATTTTAATAATATTGACAAGGACACGGACCGCGAGTTTCTGCAGATCGTGAAATTGATTGTGAAAAATATTGCTATTATAGTAGAGTTACAAAACTACAACGTGATAGATTTTAATATGGTCTTCTTTATAGATGGAATGATTCAATAACACGATTAAGGTGTACTAGAATATAGTAAATGCTTGTTAATCTGTAGAGTCATTCAATACCTACAACACACAGATAAGAACTTAACTTTTCGCAAACTTACCGTATTCAACAACGCATCAGCAACGGGTCGTATCTGTACAACATGGTTCCCTGCATCATTCCTCGCAGTCCGGAGGTCGGAGTAGAGGCGAGAGTGCCTTTCCCTCACAGCTGGAAGGTTGGGGAATAGAGCGCGGAGCTCGTCAGCCGCCAGGAGAGACGCGTGCCTCTCCAAAGGCCGTAGAAATACTCCGCTTAATACTCGCAACCAACGGACATGTGATCCTTCTGAGACGATTAATTCTGAAAACAAGAATAAGAAGTTAAAATGGAATTGTGATAAAATTAAAAGTAGAGTACATTCTCTCTAGTTTATTTCAAAATGTGTTAAAATTTTAGTAGAAATACTTTTTGAGTCAGCTAGGAAGACTCACAGAAACTCAACCAGAAAATTTTAGATTTATTTTTCGTATACAAAACGTTGCCTTATTTCTTTACTAAGAGTTTACTAGGTACATTTATAAATCTATATATACACCCCACCATCGCCCATCGTCCATAAAACGCTACGCTGCAATTGCATAACGTCCCGAAGACACCAAAAGTATTTCTACTAATGAAACAACTTAGCTTAGGTTTGTCCTAGAAGTCTACTCACCATGTATGACCTCCTGCCTCTTCCTGAGTGCGGCGGAAAGGTCGAGCCCGTCGAGTACATGCGGCGGCAGGCTGTCCGCCCACTGCGCCGCCAGCGGTTCCTCTTCCTCCGACCAGTCGGATTGAGAGGCTGGAAACCAAAACAACGAACGTTGAAACACACTTTCTCTTCTCTCTAGATAAGTTCTACTCCATAGTCACCAAATCATAAATCTAACAAGCTTCTTACACTGTCGTAAATGTTATAAGCATGTTGTCATAAGAAGAGAAGGGAAGAAAAGAGTTTTAAAAGGAATAGAATAAGACAGAGGAACTAAGAAAACAGGGAGAAAAAGAAGCTACCCATACACCGACACTTTATATTTTTAATTTCTTTTGTTTGACGTTCAATAGTGTCTTTAAGGATCTAATTGAAACAACTGATTTTGATTTAGGCTTTGATAATATCTATTGGATTTGACTTGAAACTTGAAGTAAATAAGTTATAAGAAGCTAAATACTTCTTATTTGCTCGGTAGATGACGATGAAGTTATGGTAGATGTGACTGACCTTGCTGCTCAGCAGCGACGGTGTTGCTCTCATTACTCCTGGACGATAGGCTGGAACTGCTGGAGCTGCCGGAGGGGGCGGTAGCCGCGCCTGGCTCCAGGTCACTGTGGACATAAGAAAAATCTTTGTAAGACATTGTTACACAACTCCAATATTTTGTTCTACAAGCCTACTCCGAATTCACTGAGATAAATTAATGGATTTCCAACCTAAACATTATCAAATAAAGTCAAGGATAACATGACCAATTTAAACGTTGCTCCACACTTGGATTTGTCTTGTATCGATCGTAAGTGCGTTTACATTTACAAACATACAATTTTACACATCACACCCAGACCCAGAACAACCATTTGTGGATCACACAAAGAGTTGTTCCGTGCGGGAATAGGACCCACGACACGTTGCGAGGCAGCCAGTTGCCTAGCCACCGCGCCAACCGTGAAGTTGCAAGGTTAAGTACTCGAAAAACAAAACTTTTCCCTGATTGTTAAAAATGCAACACGCTTTATTGTTTAAAGAGAAGAGATGAGATATTACCCTCTTAACTAAAGTTTGGGATTCGCAAAACATTTCCTTATTACATTGATTGACAAGCCACTAGCGAGCGTTTAAAGAAACTTTTTATCGAATGACGTAAGTTCACGATATCGATATAAAATCGCCTTGTGGATCTTGGCCGCGTATTTAATTTGCACTATCGATCAAACAAAGTATAAACCTGTGAGAGTTTGGGAAATAAATAAAATCCGTTTTATACTCCGAGACGTCCCCGTAAAAATTTTTTCAGCTTTAAAAAAAAAGTGAAATCATTTATTTTAATAAGACAACTTATTCAGCTTTATCTGGAATGTCAAGGTAAAATTAAACCTATGTGGTACATATTACAGACTATCCCATATGAAGTACAATCATAATCCATTCAGCAGTTTTCACGTTGAAGAGTAACAAACACCCACCCATTCGCGTCAATAACATTAGTAAAATTTACAACACAAAGATTATAGTTCAGTAGCCATCTGTAGCTAATGTCCGTAAATACTTCAATTAAGTCCGCGTGTATAAGGTTAGGAGGAAACGCAAGTCCAAACACCGGACGGGAAGCAGTAAAAACATTGCTAATTCGGTACGATCCTTATGAAATACTACGCGTTTAGGGAGTATGGCGACTTACATACATATTTATTACTTCACTAGCTTTTGCCCGTGACTCCGTTCGCGTGGAATAGTGTCTTTCTGTAGATTTTTGGTATAAAACTATCCTATGCCCTTTCAAACTATGTCTGTACAAAATTTCACAGAAATCGGTTCAGTAGTTTAGGCGTGAAGAAATGACAGACAGACAGAGTTACTTTCCCATTTATAGTATTAGTGTAGGCATAAATAATATTAGTATAGAAGTATAGATATTTGGTTACAGATCGGAGATTTGTAAAAGAATTTTTTGAATCTGATTACGCACTTAACAACAATTGAAATTACACTATACATCAGACAATTAAAGTTCAAATTTAATTGCAAATATATTTGGCATTAATTCACTTTGTTACTCCAAATTAATGCCTTTATGTTATTACTAAGAATTGTCGAATCGAAACTGAAGTAGTAACAAGAACATTATTATAACGCAGACGAGTGAGAAATTATCACAAATTAGAGTACCGACGCAAATAATAAAGTGCTAACATGAATAGCTCTAACAGGACTAAGTTTATTTATTAATAGCGAAATCAGTCACCATTATAATATGATAATTTTCCCTTTAATACATTAAATTACGAATATCTTTTCTATATTGCAGATATTAGAATTTGATTTCATAAATTTCCGCATGGAAATTATTTTCCACACGTGTTCCTGTTACGGTAATCTTGCAACATACCTATAGGCAATATTTACATACTGTTTATTATTTTCATGTAATACATTTACATTTGTACCGAAAAATACATTTCTGTGTAAGAAAGTATACGTAATCATAATTTGGAATTACTGACTTAACTATTCTAAGATCAAGTGAACCACCACTATTTTTTATATTTAAAATACAAAAAACTAACTAGAACAAATTGTCCAAATGAAACATTCAAACTAAAACCAAATCTTCTACCCTATAAAACAAAAGAAAACAGCAAAAACAGAACATCTACTGTCCACACTCCCCATAATACCCCCATAAATAAATCAGGTCACTACACCATCAGGTAATAAAGCCATAATTGAGATTCAGTATGGGTAGTACAACTCTCTGAAACACTCTGAAACACATTCTTGGAGACGTGACCAGAATCAGGATAAGTCAGAACGGATTGAGTTTGATAGGGGACGAAGGTTAATGTTGGGTGGTTAAGGAAACGGGTATCTGGGAATGGATCGGGTGTTTATTCGTCCGGTATTGTTGATTTAAAGATTAAGAGAGGGATTTTCGTTTTATTTCCGAGGTGAACATGTGTTTCCTTAAAGGGTTATAAATGTTAGGTATAAATACGAAATCTATCCTTTAAAGGAAGCATGCTTTTTCAGATGATGGTGTTTTTTTATGAGATAGGACGACAAACCAGCAGGCGGATGGTAAGCAATCAGCGCCGCCCATGGACACCCGCAACGACGGAGCTGTTAAGAGTGCGTTGTCGACCTTTTAGAGATTAGGGTTTTGAGAATTAGGATTGTTGAATATCAATATATTATTATATTATAAGTTTGCAATCAACCATAATTATTGCATACATTGATATAATAAAGTCACTGTCACTAGCCATAGAGAAAGTTTTCCATGACCATATCAAGAAAATCTCTTGGGATATGACGGTTAGAATAACAGCACGCATCTTGCATGATAAACGAATGGTGTAATGAAACCTTTTTATTTATTCTTTTTAACAAAATAAACTGAATGCAAGAATTCAAAATAGTGTCTTCACAAATACTAGGCATGCACTAATATTTCAAAGAAAATCAGTAGTTATTTGAAAATCCGAATCAAAATCGATTAACTACTCTAGTCAATTCTATTTTGACTAAACAATAACTAAATCCTATCAACTATGTCAGTCTAAAAATAAATAATTTCTGCAAGCCATTATTTCCGCTATCACTTTAAAAATTAATAAAATGGCGCGTCGCGACCGGAATTTTCCACCGGCCGATTTAATGGGACCGAGCGAAATGCCATCAGGTGGATTGCTGTGAAATTCCTATAATTATCAAGTGTCCTCGCACGCTTGTTCGGGTAATGGGGATCCTAGGAAACATGGATTCTTCCACACCATGTGGTGTAAGTGCTTCATGGTAGAATTTATAGGAAAAGTGATGGTTTTAATTGGGAATGGGACTTTGTTATAACGACCAATTATGACACATCATATTTAGATTACAACTTTGTGGAGGACCTATCTCTCTAGCCAGATTAATTATGGATAATATAATAATTATAGTTGTCGAAACAAAACAAATATATGGAGTTTTTAGAAGGTCAAAGTCACATGGTCAACGAAAGATGCTGATGATGATTACCCCGCATATTGATGAAATATTAGAAATGCGAAAGTAACTGTTTGTCTGTCTTTTCTTCACGCCTTAACCACTGAACCTATCTGTGTGAAATTTGGTACAGACATAGTTTGGAACTCGAGAAAGGATATAGGATAGTTTTTTAACTAAAAATCAGCAGTAAGTCACTATACCTTGCGAGCAAAGTCGCGGGAAAAAGTTAGTTGATGAGATAAAAACCATGCACTCCCTTGTATATTCGCCTGAAGCTCAAGACATTTTAAACACGCTCTTAAATACAAAAGCTACGAAGGACCTCCGATCCTCCCAACTTTAATAATATTTAACACTAAAACAATAATACAAAAAATCTATCTCCCGGACTAGGTGCATATTTAAACGAGCGTATAGGATAAGAGCCGTCCACTGATAGCACATGACCATCCGTTTATCATAATCGTCCGGTATGCCGACGATAATGTCACTGCTACTGTTTAACACATGTAGTGATTTACGGACAGACAGAAAATCCAAAAAAAAGCTGGGTTTAAAAGAGCACCGTTGGAATTTTTTGCTGATTCTTTAAAATACGAATCTAAATTTTGGAACGGGCTCTATTCTGATTTTGATAATTGATTAATGCCCGGTTCCTATATTTAACGAATCGTCGTTGTATACGCATTACGACCAAATGACATTACGAATAGTTATCTTGACCGTCTACTGACGGTTAAAATATTTATAGGAACACCACAGACAACATAGATCTCCATACAATTCGCTTACCGACATCCGTTAGTTGCAAACCGTCAGTAAGTTACACGACGAGACGTTTGTTATAGGAACGGTTTTAGCTTACGAGTCGTATATAAAACTACTATTCGTAACTAAAACGGATCGTTTCTCAATTATAGGAACCGGGCATAAGTAATTGTATATTGGTTTTATTTTGATTGTTGTTCTATTTTCATGTTTGGAAGGACAAATCATTTTTAACCCTCCTCAACGATAATTGGGGCGAAAATTCCCCGACATTTTCAAAATATCGAAACAAATAGTAACAGTTACCCACGGATCGAAGCTGTGTTTTTATTTCCCTGGAGTCCTTACTCCTTAGTAGGTCAATAATTGGATATTGTGCGTGAGATAGTTCCCCTATTTCTTAGAGAGTAGGAAAATAGGACATAGTACCTTAGAGACTGATGTATTTGTAAAGTTATGACATAACAAACTTATTTCACAAGCATTTAATAACTTTACAAGTCGAAAATGATAGAGAATATTTACTAATTATCAATAAATTCCTAGTTTAAAATTATTTAAACGAATTTTTTTGTCTCTTATTGTCATCTACCTTCAATTTGAAATACAAAACTCACTCAACTCACTAAAGAAAAACCTTGTTTTGTAATAAGGCCGGTAATGTTTGGATCGTATGTGAAAAGACTTGGAAACAAATTTACTTTTTTGTTATGGTATATGTATGGAAACAGCGCCGCGCATAGACACCCGCTACACCAAAGGAGTTACGAGTGCGTTGCCGGCCTTTAGAGATAAGGGTTTTGGATATTTAAGTATTGGGAAGAGAAGGGTAGAGGGAGGGATTGGTACGGTA